AGGTAAAATGAAGTTGTTAACTTGGCCCAACTTCATTTTGTTCATAGTAAAACTAAAGTTTTAAGAAAAAAACATTATGATTAAACACAAAAAAAAATACATTTAAAAATGGGGTGATCACACAGGTTAAACAAACAGAGGTGGCTAATGGTCCTGAACCTTTCTTTGGAACAATTAACATGAGTTTTAAAAATTGAAAATTTTTAATTTATATATATAATAAACCAAGGGGGATAAAAAGAGGGAGATGTACCATATGACTATAAAAATACTCTCCTACATACTGAGAAAAACTTTTCAGTGGGGAATAAGCTTGATTCATTGGCACAAGAAAGGGCTTTCTGAATAGGACACTGATAGCAAAGGCATGGAGACCAAAAACTAATAAGTGAGCCCTCATCAAGGTGAAAACCCTCTGTGTGGCAAAGGACGGCGTCATCTGGCAAATCAGCAGCCTACAGAGTGGGATATAGGGTTAATATTTAGAATATGGAAAGAACCAAAAAACCTAAACATCAAGAAGCAAAACCCAACTAAAAAATGGGATATAGAACTAAGTGGAGTTCTCAAAAGATGAAACACAGATGTCTGAGAAGCACAATGGAATATTATTCACCTATTAAGAAAAATGAAAATTGAAGGTAAATAAATAGAACTATAAAAATTACTGAGATAACCCCCCGAACTAAACATTGCATGTTTTCTCTTCTATGTAGACATCAGCTTTTAATATGTGTGCTACAAGTGAAATTACCAGAGATTATGTACCTAGTAAGGGACCAGGTGGAGAAGGGGTCTTTCAAGGACAAGGAATTAGAATTGACTGTTATGGAGTGACAATGGACAAACTAGACTAGCAGGATTACCCAGGGAGGGGCTGGGAGAGCAGGGCAGAGGAGGAGGAGGAGATATGGGCGGGACACTAACACTGAAGGCATTTTGAAAGTCATACAGAAAGGGCCTACTGTAGAGGCTTCCTAAAGCATAGACAGACAGGAAAGGAATCTAACGAAGTCATCATGTCCGGGTGAGACACTGCCCCGACTGCTCACCATATGCTACCATGTAAAACGCAGCACGTTGAGTCACTGGTCAGAGGGTTCCATGGAACCCCGCCACACCCCAAACATCACAGGCTATTGCCAAAGCTCTTAGCTGCTCCCCACAACCTGCTGGTAAGGCTGCAGTGCAGAAGGTTACACTTCAGGCCTTGAACACAGAGAAGCTGAGCCGGTTCCTCACCAGAAGCTTCACCCCATCTTAGTCAGTGTTCTGTTGCTGTGAAGAGGCCATGGCCACGACAAGTCTCACAAAAAGAAAGCATTTAACTGGGCTTGCTTACATTTTCAGCAGTTTAGTCTACTGCCATCATGGTGGGGAGAATAGAGGCACGCAAGCAGCCTGGTAGCTGAGAGTTCTACTTCCAGATCTAAAGGCAACAGGAAGAAAGAGTTACTAGGCTCACTTGGGCTTTTGAAATCCCAAAGCCCACCCCAGTGACATCCTTCCTTTAACAAGGCCACACCTCCTCCTTCTCACATAGTCACTCCCTAATAACCAAGTATTCAGATATATTAGCCTGTGGGCGTCATTCCTATTCCAACACCACACACCCTACTAACTAGTGTTTATGGTGCTCTGAAGGCTACTGAAAGACAAAGGTAATTA